ATTATTGGCTATACGAGAGATATACTTATGTATTGCATTTCTACCGTAGAGGAGTGAGTCAAGAGCGTATTATAAGTTGCAAAGTAGAAACATAGAATGATGATCTATAGAATTAATTTTCATCTTCCATTCTATGAATTTAAGATAGGCTTATATGTGAACTTAAAAAAGTGGTGAAATATTAAATTTCAAGACAAATAGTCTAATTTATTAAATAGATTTTAATTTCTCCAAATAAAACGATCCAAACGGTCCTAATAATAATGTCTGGAAAGGCTAGGTTGAGTGTTTTTTTAACAGCAGCTTTGGTCTTGGAGATGGGTAGTAGCCTGGTAGAACTTGAGCAATCAGTAGCAAAGGATATCTCAAGGACGGCGAGTGATGACTGATGACCACTCGACGTGGAAAGATGTGCAGCTAGCGGCTCTCGCTACCTCCAGCCACATACTTTTTTGTCTTTGTCACTTCCATATAGAACAAAAGCTGACCTAGAATAGAATCACTATATATGAAGAGCTGAGATGGCATTTTAAAAATACCCTAAAACTGTTTATCCGGTGTCCTCTTTGCTAACCTTCTGTTTTCGCGGAAGTTATATCCTTTTCAAGGGTACCCATCTCCCCTCGCTCCCACCCTTCCTAAAAATCAGCTTCTCCTTCAGGCTCATAATTAGCTTAATCTTGTCAACTTTGACGAGGTTAGTGTTCTGGCTTGAGGGTTAGGGTTCAATTTTGGGTCACCATACTTTAAATGAGACGCAGTGGTGAAGTTAAGGGCGCCTCTAACAGTATGAGCTAACACTAGCTCTAAGCTGATAAATATTGAGGAAATTGGAGACCACGACGAGCAGTTTTGCACATTGTGTTGTAAAAGCGAGATGCATTGTAAAATGTGTGAGACTATCTTTTAAGTTCATACTAGTCTCTTGCTTTTTGCACTATTCAATAATTAAAAAATTGATTTAACTAACTCTAAGCTAGACCATTGAAGACATCCTAAGTAGAGCTACCTTGGAGCATATGCACCATAGTAAAGAGGAGAAAATCACAAGCAAATGGCACAAAAGAGACTCCATAAGTAGGTCCAGGCTCCAGGGACAAGTGGCTAAGGCAGTTTAATCCGGAAGCTATGATGATTTTTGTAGTCATTGATTATGGTATCTACTAAGTAAAATAGTAATATGGCATTGGAACTAAGAAAAAGAAAGAAGAAAATATGTCTACATGAGAAACAAGATAGAAAGAGATATGATAGGTAGATGGTGGAAGAGAATATATTTGATTGGGCAAAACAAATATTTTGAAGAAGTCATCCATTGCGAATATGGTTTTTATGTACAATGTCTATTTAACTTGGCACGTATGAAAAACATCTCATAGTTTTTGGGTTAAGGGGATGTTTGGTTCCAGAGAGTAAAGTTTAGTCCCTATCACATCGGATGTTCAGATGCTAATTAGAAGGACTAAACATGAGTTAATTATAAAATTAATTACACAGACGGAGACTAATTTATGAGATGAATCTATTAAGCCTAATTAATCCATCATTAGCATATATTTCTTTAATCTCAATCTATGCAGTTAGTTTTGTAATTAGTCTATATTTAATACTCTAAATTAGTGTCAAACATCTGATGTGACATGGACTAAAATTTAGTCTGTGGAACCAAACACCCCCTAAGACCGCCCTAAGGCAACAAGAGCCGTATAGGGTCAAGTTGGCAATGGCAATGACATGCTAAAGCGGAGAGATTGCTAGCCTACTTCTCTATAAAGACTTAATTAGGCCATTCTCATTGCAGATCTCGTGGAGGTTTGAAACTCACCAAGTGAGATGCCACATAGGCAAAAATGATGACATGTCAAGAAATTTATGAAGAGAGGCCAGGGATGAATTTCATCATGATGAAACTAGGTGTACCTGTTTTCAAGTCTATGAAATGTGTTGAAACTGGCATCGAGGACTAGAGTGTTTCATTTCATTTGACTATGCCTAATCATGTGCATCATATTAAATGCTATGGGTAGCCTATGCAAAAGTCTCAACCCCTATAGATGATGTGGAAGTCTTAGGGCTCGTTTTGCAAAGCTTCTAGAGTGATGCTGGCTCTGGCTCTAGCTCTAACTCCAACTAAAACCCTACCAAACATCCATTCAAGAAAAGGCTTTGGTGCTCAGAGGAGCTAGAGCCATTTTCCTATTGGGCAGGTAGAGCTACGAAAATATGGTTTCTCCTAGCTCCTCACAACCTTGGCAAATTATAACAAAACTACCACTATAGTTGTTTTTGTTAAACATTTTCTAAACTGATTTCAGCTCTTTCAGAGAAGTTTGTCTACAAGAGGAGCTAAAACCAAAGTTCTAAGATCTTTTAGAAGCCAGAGCCAAGCTAAACTGACCCTTCAAAATTATAGAATAAAACTTGCCAATGGCCCTATGCCGTTGCTGCAAGGACGGTGGGGAGAGATTGGCCAGCGGAAGAAGAGGAGGTAGCTACGGAGGTAAAAAGAAGCAGCCGTGGCGTTGCATCATCCAATCCAACGGTAAAAAACCCAGGTGCTCGCGCTTGAGAAATGCTAGGTACCGACCAGGCCCTTCATTTTCTGGACACAGAAACCTTGATACATATATAATGTCTCCGTAGAATTTGGTGGTAAAGCGATAGCTCTATAGCGTTGTTGTGATGCGAGTGATGCCGGTCCTCCTAGGCTTCCCCTGGTCATGGTTTGGTGAATGAAATAATTTAAGCCTGACGTGGCTATCCAGACATGGCTCGTGCTCGGGGCAGGTAGCACGTTAAATATAAACATGGAAACCGAGCACCTAATTTGTCTCTATACTTGTCCTTCAGTCAGATTGGATAATGCGGAACCTTATAATCACCTCGTTTTGCTTCTCTGTGGTTAATTGATAATAATTATATGAATAAGCTTACGTTACAAAGTCCGTCGTTTGATCGATGATCGCTTGGCCAGACGCATATTCAACTAATGGTGTCCTGTTCGTAGGGACACCAACACCACCTGCGATGCAATCATACAGCAAGATACACGACGAAACCTAACCTTTTTGCAAGAGCGCCGTGCAGTTGCTTTCCAACTCTATGCGAGGAGATTTCTATAAGCTGGATTGCATAATGTCAATAACACCGAAGCCAGAATAATTATATCACAGTTCCGCCAAGATACAATATTATGGGCTGCGCAAGCCATCTTTGTCGAAGCCATGGAGAGGATAGGCAGAAGAGGGAACTGCAAACAAGCAGCAGTTTCGCATCATTTTTCTCCAATAAAGGAGAGCTGCCGGCCTGCCGATATCCGTCCGTCGCTTAAAAGACTGACTATATGGATAATCCATATATATTTCTATTACCATGTAAAAAACGAGATGAGGTTTCGTCCACTGAGGTACAAATAAGTTGGGCCAAATAAGTTCCACAATTTCAGTGCAACTTCAATGGCCCGTTCGCGTGCCCTTAAATCCGACTTGATCCGCTTTTTTTTTCATCTGAAACAGTATTTTTCTCTCATAAATTCCTCCAGATTCCTCCAAACGAACGGAACCGATAAGTGTCATTTTAATTAATTATTGCATCATTTAAAGTTAAGTATTAGTAAGTGTTTATAAGTTAATTCCACTGTGAAAATTAAGATGTGCTCTCAGACTAGATTGGAACCAACGGGAATATTTGATCTAAGAATTTTTTTTAAGTATGCCAGTGGTTATGAATAATTATAGTTAAAGCTAAGACTAAGTTTATTTTTTATAAGTATATATTTTAAGCATCTTTTATAAGTATATAAAAAAGTTATATATCCTAAGTTTGATAATGATTCTTTTTAACTATCATCTCCACGCTATTACGGGTTAATCGAATGAAAAATAATAATTCTCACGCATCAATGAAAGAAAACACTAACACCACCAATACAGGTAAAAAACAAAACATCCTTTACTATATTTCATTGGACGCATTGAGTATTTTTTTTCCCGTGCATTGATGCACGTGCATTTATCTAGTAATTTAAAAAACCGAAACCCGTACCACATCCAAATCCAAATAATCAAAGTTAGATTTCTGATACATATTAGAATAAATATTAGGGGCTTAATATCCGTTGCATCTGATACTATGCTAATTCCAGAAAGAAAACTATAGTATCCGTTCACATCATGCGATGCAAACTGCAAAGGGCAACAAATCGAGCCCAATCAAAGTTTCATCCCTACACGCAGTGCAAACTGCAAAAATCAACAAATCGAGTCCAGTTAACCAAACCCACCCTGAACCCTGTTCTCTACAAAACTAATACTCCCTCCATCCCAAATTGTAGGACGTTTTTTTTTTTTTTTACTCGAGATTTGATCACTCGTCTTATTTAAAAAAATTTATACAAATATAATCAAATTTAAGTCATTTTTGAAAAATTTTTATTAATAAACCAAACCACAACGAAAGAAATGATATTTTACACAAATTTTTGAATAAGACGAGTGGTCAAACTTAGTATCAAAAAAGTCAAATGTCTTACAATTTAGGATGGATTAAGTACTTCCAATTCCAAATTGTAAACTATTTTACTAAATTGTAAACCATTTTATACTCGATTTATATATTACAATTTGGTAATCTATAGATTAAGAGTTTTTACAATACAACTAGTTATTATAGATTATATTTAGATTTTAGATACATTTTAAAAACTATATAGCTCGAAAAGCCAAAACGCAATTCATAACAAAGCTAAAAAAGCTACGCCACGAAAAAGAGCAAACTAAACAATTGAGAAATCTAACCCTTCCCCCAAATCAAATGCCACGATTTGACAGGCTATCATATACGGTGTAACACTTGATATTGAATTAATATGTACTTAGAAAGCATTCCGAACACATATGGAAATAAAAGATAGATAGCAGCATAGCAAAGAGGATCAGGTATCTCTCAACAGGCGGAAGACATAAGAACGACACTCTGCTGTTATGCAACCCACCTAAAGTCTATTGCTGCTGCTCGTCAAACTCATGGCCATGATCCAGGAGGTAGTTGGCTGCAAGCTCTTCATCCTTGTTGCATGCAAAGAAAACTTCTAGCACAAGCTCACGGTTGAACCCCATCCCCTCAAGCTGTTCGAGAATATAATTAATAATACAAAAAAAAAAATACAGCAAGCAAGAGCTCTGAGTTGGGAGTATTGCTGGCATAACAAACACTATCCATATCCAACTACGCAGATTTGGATGCACCATCCACATCCACTCATAGGTCCTCTCAAATTACGTCATAGAAGCATAGAAAACTCAAGGCAAAGCTACACTATTGCATACAAATTAGAAAATTGGGTTCTGCAAGTAGAATAGTAACTACATCTAGAATTTGGGATTACCAAATTAAAATAAAATTTGTATCTAGGATTAGTGTAGAAATTAGGAACAACTCCTTAGGCCTCAAGAATAACTTCAGAACTAATGTAAAATTATACTTATAAAGCAGACGCGTAATGTAAAAATACAATGGTTATCTATTGTCGTTACATCCTGCCTAGACCATCAAGGCCTCGTTCGGTTATGCTGGAATGGGGCAGGAACTATTCCGGGTTGATCAAAATTATGTAAATTAATGAACGATTCCAGGTGGGAATGGTTCCAGGGATCCGTTCCCTGACAACCGAACGGAGCCTAAATTTGTGTTCCAACAAAAGAACTGTACTTTCATTTACATGCAAACATGAGCAAATTATCTGGAAACACAAAAGAATTCAGGCCAAGACAAAGAATGTTTAAAAAGAACTGCAGATAACATGTTATAAAAGAGATGTACCCGCTGGATAGCCTCCCGTTCCTCTGGGGTAACTGTCAGCGTTTGCGGCATAGCAGCTGCCAGTTGACCTAGTATGTTTCTGGTTCACCACAGCACAATGTAAATATCTGTACTCATGACTTATATTAACATAATTATGCAGTTTTCCTTACCCTCCAGGACCACCCTCAGGAGTTTCATTCACCAAGCGGAGAAACTCAGCTTGATTTTCCTGAATCAATCGCAGGATTTGTGGGTTTTGTTTGCCTAGCTCTTGAAGCATTGGCTGCCAATCAACAGACCATACAATCATTGATCACTCAGGTGAAATGATTATTAAAATATGAAAGGGCAAGAAAAATACTAAGCAATAACACAGTAAAAGCACCTGTAAGATCTGAGGATTAGCCTGGACCAACTGAAGCAGTGCTTGAAACTGAACAGGATAAATAACAGTTAGTAAATTACAGGCTCATTACTTATTTGTATGTAAGAAGCTGCACAGTTACTACCTGTGGAAGCTGTCGCAAGGCATCAAGGGCACCAGATCCTGCACCTGGAACAACACCTGGATTGGCCCCACCACTTGGAACGCCCTTTTCAGAAATTTAGTATCAGAACAGGTAAGAAATAATATTACAGAAAGGGAACACTGTTTTCAGGACAAACATGGAAAAATGTCAGGTAACTATAGCTGCAACTTGTAAGGGTACGATACATTTGCATTATCATGATGCATCAACAGAGGGAAATGTACACAGCATTGATCATACATGCAAATAGTATGCAAGTCAGCAAGACAAGCAGCTAAATAATAGATGTAATCCATATCGTATGAAAAAAGTTACGATGGCATTTCCTTTCATGGCAGTCATGCCACAAACATAATATGTAGGGATAGTGAATAGTTTCTAAAAGAGTATACCAGTTCACATAGTAAGAAAGGGTCCAAACATTTAAGTCAAAACATAATTTGACAGCACATACTGGAGGAAAAAGGTTCAGAGGATTTGCATTAGGCCCTGCAGAGGCAGCGGATGGCTGCAATCGTGGTGCAACTGCTGGCTGAGCAGGTGATGGAGCCTGCTGATTTGTTTGTTGGCCAGTAGCAGGTGCTCGGGCAACAGGCGGAGCCTCCACATTCTCAGGAATTCCCTACCAGGAAAACCAGATTAATGTAGTGACAATTTGCATGCAATCCTTTGCACGAGTAATATTAAATAAGTATGCTAAATGTGTTATGCAAAGTTTGATCTTTTTTTTCACAATAAGAAAGATTTACCTTTTCACAAATAACAATATACCAGAAAAAGTATTGAGCAGGTTTTTGAGAAAATGAAAGAAACAATTGAACACATCAGAGGCAGGACGAAGCTGCAATGCATTGGTAAAACAATTCGTTAACATCAAACTTACAGAATACAGGTAGTCTATAGCTCTCTCAGGGTTATTATATGCAGCACGTAGAGCACGGACAACTGTATCACGTTCCCAAGTACCACCACCCATGTCAAGAATTTGTTGGATAGTCTGTTCTAGATTGTTGCCAGATACAAGGTTTGAAGCTGCCTGACTGTACACATCAGCATCACCACTGTAGAATAGCCACATGAAAGAGCAGGATTAATGTACTAAACTAGGATAGAACAGCAAGAAATAAAGAAAAAAAAATTAATGTAGGCTTGCAAGGACCGATAAGCATGAGCCATCCTATGTGATGTCTATAATATAATGATATATAAATAAGCAGAAATAACCATAGATATATTACATATAAGGGCATGTTTGGCACAGCTCTGTGAGCTGTTTTTTTTTTTTTTGCCAAACACTCATTTCCAAAACAACTTCATGGGTGAAGCTGTTTTTCTCCTCTCACAAAGACATGAGTTGGGATGAGGCTGAAAATAGTAGCTTATCATAGCTCTCTCCCTCATTTCTCTCTCATCCATGCATGAAGCTGTTGGTGAAGCTGTTTTGCCAAACAGTTTTTCCAAAATAGCTTAGCTTCACCTAGAAAGTTGCTCATGAAGCTGTTTGCCAAAAAAAACAGCATTACTAGTGAAGCTGAGCTGTGCCAAACGGGGCCTAAATAAGGGATCAGATTGTCAAAAATAATTTCTAGAAGGTCTCAAAAATCAAATCCCATTTGCGGGATACAAGAAACAACTGTTCGATAAATATGAACAGGGAAACAATATAGTGTAGTTTATTATGCCTCTAAGCCCTGAATTTATTATATTTGTATCTCTCAAATGGTGGCGTGATGTCTGGATGTTAGTCGCTGAATTCTTACTCTTGGTAGTAGCAAAATTCTTACTCTCATTGAGAGAAGATGACACTAGGAGTTGGGGCAATTTTCTAGTTTATTTCTTACACAAATGCCATGCCAACCTAGGTGTTAGGGATACATATTTATAGGCTGCTAGCCAGCCAAGCATATGCCAAGATGCTAGATGCTAAGATGATGTCATAAAACAGATGTTGTCATAGATGCTAGATGCCAGTCAAGGATGTTGTCCTTGACGGGCAGCAAGACCACCATGCAGCCACAAGGACCATATGCTGCAGCCCCACAAAGACCAGTCAACACAGAGACTTATCACATCATTCTCCCCCTAACTCTTGTGCGTCGTCCCGGTCCTGGAGCATAACTCAAGGAACTTGATCCTCCCAAGAGGCTTGGTAAGCAAGTCCGCAAGCTGGTCCTTGGTGTTGATGTAGCTCGCCTTGATGCTCCCGTCCTCCAAACAGCCTCGGATGAAGTGTTACCTCACCCGGATGTGCTTACTCCGTCCATGGAAAACGAGGTTCTTTGCCAGGGCCAGAGCGGACTTGCTGTCCATCCTGAGCTCCACCGCTCTAGTGTCTCTACCGAGGAAATCACCAAGCAGTCGAGCGAGCCAGAGCGCTGAGTCAAAGCGGTGGAGGCCGCTATGTACTCGGCCTCGCAGCTAGATAGGGCCACCACCTGCTGCTTGACCGACTGCCAACTAACGAGGCACTTGCCGAGGAGGAAGAGGATCCCGCTCGTGCTCTTGCTGGTGTCGATGTCGCCGGCGTGGTCGCTGTCGCCGACGAAGTGTGCCACCCCAGGGCACCTAGGGTAGTAGAGGCCGTGGTCGAGTCCCCACAACGTAGCGGATGATCCTCTTCACAGCCTGCTAGTGCTCCGTCGCCGGTCGCTGCATGAACCGACTAACGTAGCCGACGGAGAATGCCAAGTCCGGCCGTGTGTGGGCAAGGTAGCGAAGGCTCCCCACAAGACGCCGGTACTGTGTAGCATCCACCTCCTCCGTCGTGCTGTCGCGGCTCAGCTTCAGCCTCTCCTCCATTGGAGTGAGAGCTGGGTTGCAGTCAGTGAGCCCAGCTAGCTCCAACGACGCGCTTGGCGTAGACGGTCTGTCGAAGCGTGGTCCCGGAGTCATCCTGGTGCATCTCGATTCCCAGGTAGGAGAGGCCCCAGGTCACTCATCTAGAAGGTGGACTTCATCTCTTACTTGAATGCCGCCAGCTCCGCATCCTTGGTGCCGGTGATCACCAAGTCGTTGACGTAGACACCCACCAAAGAGAGCATTTCCTCCACCGCCTGTCGGTAGATGGTCAGCCTCGTCGCGGGCTTTGCTCAAGCCCATCCCCTTTAGCGTGGAATCCAACTTGGCATTCCACGCCCTCGCGTCTCGCCGCAAGCCAAAGAGGGCCTTGCGCGAGCGAGCACCTTGCCCTCCTCCTTGCCGAGGATCGCAAATCCCAGCGGTGGGGTGCACGAGACCTCCTCCTTCAAGTCGCCGTTAAGAACGCCTACTTGACGTCCATGTGATGAACACGCCACCCTCCCAGGCGGCTAAGCGCAAGAAGGAGTCGACGGACTCCATCCGTGCCACAGGAGCAAAGGCGTCGTCAAGTCGACCCCTCCCTCTCGCACGAAAACCTCGTGCCACCAAGCGAGCCTTGTGCTTCACGATGGTGCCGGCTTCATCCTCTTCTTCACTTTTTACACCCCACTTAAGGGTGATCGCGCAGTGACCACAAGGAAGGTCGAAGCTCCTAGTGCGCTTCTTCTCAACCGCATCCATCTCCAATTGCATCGCGGCGCGCATGCCGCGTGTCTCTCGGCCTCTGCAAACGACATCGAGGCTCACCATCGCCACACGCAAGTGCAATCGCGCCTCCGTGTCGTGAGGCACACCAATCCGGCACCGGCCGGCCGCCGAGAAAGTTCTCCATCGTGACGGTATCAGCAACGGCTCGCCGTCGTGGTACGCGTCGATCGCTCCTCATCGTGAGAGCGAGTAGCGAAGCTCAATCGGGCCGTGCTCGACACGAGCCGGTGTTGGATTAGACGTGCCGGAGAGGTGCCTGCTTGGTCTTTGGAGTCGCGTGGCGGTCTTTACCGTGGTGGAGCCGGCCGAAGAACTCATCGCAGCCCGAGGTCTTGGGCCGAGAGCGTGGTCTTTGTCGCTTTCGAGTAGCAGCGCGGGGGTAGGTGGAGGCTCGAGGGGATCGGGGTAGACGCGCTGTCGAAGAAGAGCCGCCTTACTCCCCCAGCCCTCGGTGGACGTGATTCGACAATTGAAGTCGCCGTGCGTCGAAGCCGAGCCGCCGCCCACCGCTTTGTCCCCACGCCCATCCTCGCCTTTTCGTCGAACACAACGTCGCTGCGCGCCGCGCGTACGCACGCCGTGTGTCTTCGAGTCGAGGATGCGGTAGGCCTTCGAGCCTCCACGTGCCGGCGAACACTCCTTGCGTGCCCGCTCGCCGAGCTTTGCCGATGTAGCCAAGCTCCTTGGCGAACGCGAGGCGCCTGAAGGCCCGCAAGTGGGAGAGACCGTCGGCTTGCGCCCATGCCAAGCCTCGTCGGCGCGTCCTGCCGCCGAGCGCCTTGGTAGGCGAAGCGGTTGAGGATGTAGACGGCCGACACCACCGCCTTCCCCGTAAAAAAAATGGCATCCCCTCTCGCTTGATAAGGGCCCGAGCCATCCCCACAACCGTCTGGTTGCGCCCGCTCGACGACGCCGCTCATGCGCGGGTCAGACGGCATGAGCAGCGAAGGCGCCCGAATGCCCTCATCAACAGAAGATCTGACGCGACGTCAAATACCGTGGTGAATTCGCCATTGTTGTTGTCGGTCTGCGCAACCTGCTGCAGCTTCTGGCGGTCGCGCTCTCTCCAGACTGACCTACGCGCCCGAATGGCATCCGCAGCTCTCCCTCCTTGCCGCCGAGGACCATCACCCACATGTAGCGGGAGAGGTCGCCGACGAAAGCGCAGAAGTAGCGTCGTCCTCCCGTGTGGCCGGTGTCATCGGGCCACACAAGTCCCCGTGCACAAGCCCGAGCCTCTCCTTGGCTCGGCTCGCCCATCGGGAAAGGGGAGTCGCCTCTGCTGCCAACACGCAGACGTCGAGAGTTGCTCCCACATGGTCGAGGCACGGCAGCGCTCGCGACCATCTCCGTGGCACTAAGCCGCCTGTGGCCTCAAAGTGAAGGTGCTCGGCGCTGCGTGCCATCGCCACACGCTTCGTCGTCCGACGAAAGCGGCCGAGACAGAGGGGTTGTGCCACCGCACGTTAAGGACGTAGTCGATTTAAACCGATCACCTTAGCAAGAAGGCGGCGACGGCGATCCCAAATCTTCATGACTCCATCCTCAACCACCACACGCGAACCGTTCTCATCCAAATTGTCCCAAAGTCGATGATAGAGTTCCTCAACGCTGGATGTAGTAGACTCCGTGAGCGACTGTGCTCACCGTGACACGCAGTGAAGATGACGGAGCCGACGCCCTGATCTCCACGCCGGAGGCATCCACAAACTTGACGGAGCCCTCGGGCGCTAGAGTCAAGCTCGGTGAAGAACTCCGTCGACCGGTCATGTGATGGGTGGCGCCGGTGTCAGGCACCACCCGTCGGTCTTTGTCGCTTCTTGGGCCGCCGCCGAGGAGGGCGTGTGCTTTTGGCTCGTCTAAGGTGGAGGAGAGCCAGCTGCCACGGTCGGTGCCACCGGAGGTAGCTCGATGCTTGCATGCGCCATGAACAGAGCCGCCTCCTTCGCCGCTTTGTCGACGTGGGCTCGCCACATCGTGGTCGCCGACGATCCTTGGCCCAATGGCCAAAGGCCGCATTCTGGCGAGTGTCGTCTCGTCGCCAGGTGTGTTTCTTGCGGCGCCGCCGCCACTGGCGTCTCTGCGCTTTGCGCGGCTTGCCACACTTGCGGCGCGCTGTCGCGCGAAGAAGGCTCCCTTCTTCTTCCGGTCACCTTGGCAGCAAACCAATCGCTCCCGAGTGAGAAGGAGCTTCCGCCAGATGGTGATGGGCCCCGAGAGATCGTGGCTCATCATTGCCGATTGCGACGACCTTGAGGCGACCTATCGCCTCCTCGATCGACATCGTGGAGAGAGATCCAGCGAGGACTCGATCGAGCGAGCCATCTGCGCTTGTACTTCTGGGGACGCAGCGGAAGAGCTTTTCGACGCCTCTCTCTCCTCGCCGTAGGTATCATCGCCGAATCGCACCATCTTCTCGCAATGCGGTGTTGAGACGGAGAGCAAAGTCATCAACGCCCTCACCGCTTGAAGGCGTGTTCTCCCACTCCTGCGGCGTGCTTGCAGGTGTGGACTTCTGCGCGCGGTCGCCGCCAATGTGTGCCGCAACGATGGCGTCCCAAAGCCTCCTTAGCAGTCCGCTTGTTGGTAAGCGAGAACTACATCTCGGGCGGGACTGCAGCGATGAGGGCATCCAGCGCCCGTCGATCCTGATCGTAGTCGACGTCGCCGTCTTGGACCGCCTCCCACATGTGCCGCACTGAGCTTTACCTCATCATCGCAGCCCACTCGGCGAAGAGTTGGTCTTAGTGAGGGTTGGCCACCCACCGCCGGGGCCGACGCCCTGACAACACCGGAGCCCGTGGTAACCATGGTACTAATCCGGGGAGAGAGCCACGCTGCCTGTGAAGGTCGCGCTCTCCATCGACCCGTCCGCCACCGTTGTCGCGTCGCGCCTCCTCCAGAGCACCGCCGGCGCGCCGCCGCTGTCGGGCTCGCCGCCGCGCTGCGTGCAGCGTCTTGCATCGCCCATTCGCCGCCGCGCCGCCGCCCGCCTCCTCCTCAAAGCAGCCTCGAGATCCACATCGACGCCGCCGTTAGCGTAACCGGAGTCTGTTGATCTTTGCCAGAGAAGCCTCGACCTCTCTTTGCCAGCCGTCTGCTGCATCCATCCGCCGCCCACTGCTTCGCCTCCGCTCTGAGGTCGCCACCTCGACGCTTTGTTGCCGCCGCGGCTGATGATCTCTCCGCCGCTTCGCTCGCGTTCTGCTGCCAAGCAAGTTCGGCCTCCGCCGACGCCACCGGCGTGCTCGAGGCGACCGAAGGCCGAGATCGCCTCTGGGACATGATGCGCCACCGGGGGCTGCTGCGTGGGAGAGGGTTGCTTGATCACAGCAGAGGAGAGGAGGAGCAGGAGCGGCCAGAGCCAGCTGCGCTTCTCCCACTGGGTCTATTCTGCGAGGTCGGGAAAGGAGATGAGCAGGAGATGCTCTCAGTTCATACTGAGCTTGTTAGTCAATGAATTCTTACTCTTGGTAGTAGCAGAATTCTTACTCTCATCGAGAGAGGATGACACTAGGAGTTGGAGCAATTTTCTGGTTTATTTCTCACACAAATGCCATGCCAACCTGAGGGGTTGGGGATACATATTTATATGCTTTGCCATATGCCAAGATGCTAGATGCTAGATGCCTAAAACAAATCATGCCAAGGATGCTAGATGTCATTCCTAGATCTCAGTCCTAGATGCCCACCATCATTGTCCTTGACGACAAAGAAGACCATATGCACCACAAGAACCATATCTCAGAGTCCCCACAAAGACCAAACAACACACAGAGACTTATCTCATCACTGGACTTGAAATTTTGTGTGGCATCATATAATAATAACTTTATCTATAAATGGTGAGTTTTCCAAGATTTCTTAAAAAAAATAGATGGTTGTTTTTTAAGTTTTTCACCAGATATGCTCTATATAAATACTTGTCACCACAAGGTCATAATGTTCTATTTTAAATTATACCATCCACATGTACACCACAACTTAAAAATAAATGTCCAAGTTGCACGGGCTTATAGAATGGCAGTCTATTAGTTCCCAGTTTATAAAAGATATAAGTCTAATAAATGAAGCTTTTGATATAAGTCCCCGATCAGTCTTGCACAAACATAAGAAAAGAACACAGAAGTGGAATGAAAGCAAAAGATAGTAATGGATATATTTCAAAGCAGTGATTATAAAGGTTCTGGAGCTTACGATGCAGCAACCGTAGTAGCAGGAGCAGCCTGAGGCTGTGCACTTGGAGGTGCCCTGTGGAAGACAGTAACAATGGCATAAGAGAAGCCATAGGGTTAACACAAAAGATGAAGGGGAAAAGATGGCTCACGTTTCAGCTGCGGCAACAGGAGCTTGTGTAGGTGTTCTTGCAACAGATGTAGCAGGGGCCACAGGGGCCACAGGGGCCACAGGGGCTACAGGTGCAGCAGGTTGGGCCTATTGCAAAGTTAATAACAGACCAAAATATAAGAAAACAGTTGGTAACAATAATGCCAAAACAAAATACAAGATATTATATCATCATACGTATAATACAGCACATACTTGTTAGTTTGTATGTAAAAGCAACTTAAATTGATTACGTACATATAAGGTAATGCTCAGACACAAGTACCAAAAAGGGATTAAATTTGATCATTGCTCCCACTTATTTTTGGCCGTTAGGTACATTTGGTGACTGGAATCATAGACAAAACTAAATTTGCTAATTCATATCCCGAAGTATACCCGGATATGAGTCATGACACATGAGAACACTAATGATATGCCAATTCATATCCCACACAAGACAGACTAGATTTGGAGTGCAATTCAGTTTTACAGTTCACGATTGTCTGAAGAACAACACTACCGAAATACAAAAATAACTACATCATATATGCCAAAACTAACCGGAGTTGCAGGAGCTTTTGCAGCAGTAGCGGTAGAAGCTCCACTCGATGATGCCTTAGCCTAGAAAAAATCATGTTATGCATGTCAGATTAATTAACCAAATAAATCAGTGTCAATTATAACTTAAGTTTTGAAACGGAAAATATATAACAATGGGTCATGGAAGCTGAGTCATCTTCACACAAAATCCACAAAACTCTGACCGTTGTATTTTTGTTGCTGTGAAGTAATTAAATTCAGAACTCCGCCTATGTTGTCTCAACATAGTAGGTCCCCAGCCCTGGTAAAGGAGGAGGGTTGTGATAGGCGTGGCGAGCCAACGTTAACTCTAGCCATTCTAATGGAGATGAAACCCGAAAGAAAACCGTTGGGGTGTAACCCTCTTAACGACACGCCATATTGGAGATGGAATATACCCAAACACTTAGCCTTAGATAGGAGTGCTTGGAAAACAACTATTCACGTGCCTGAACCTTGATTGCTTCTGCTGGGTTTCAGCTCTAGACTACCCCAACTTGTTTGGGACTTAAAGGTTTTGTTGTTGTTGTTGTTGTGTTGTTGAAGTAATTAAATTCAGGCTAGGCCCAAAGTGGAAAAAAAAAACCACAAAACTCGATATGGAACACTCGATATCTTATCTTATGTTATCTTTATCACCTTGAAAGCAATCAATTTATCACCCAGTCAAGTATAGGTTGAGTTTTATTTGAAATGCAGTCAACAGTTGACAATGCAGCCATCAGATTTCATAAAACAGCAGTCAAAATTGGAGAGTAAATAAGAAGAAACTGGAAAAGGGAAGAGGTGAAAGAATCCAAATCCAAATCTGCATATGTTGAATCTGTGGAAGACAAATCAATTGGGTATACAGAATTGAGGCGATCAAATAACATTTTGCGAGACATTCAAAGACATAATTTACAATTTACATGGAAATCATCAAAGAAACCAGTCACAATGCCAATTCTCAGGCAAATGACTACACCATCTAGAGCACTAGCAGAAGTAAACATGACAACAAGCTACCATAGATAACTTATGAGCACCATAAGGCAGTGGATAAAACATAACTACTTATTTTACTAGCAATCCATCCATGTAACAATAATAACAGCAGAAGACATGAAACTGAAATCAATGCAACCAACCTAAAACACTCAAATATGGTACGATTTACAAGCAAACCGATCACACTTTCCAATTAAGAACCAGATTATTGAATAAATCGCTGATGGGATAAGCCAGAGAGCACCAAATACCTTGGACAACATTATAACAAGGAAGCTGTTCTCAGCAACTCCGTTGCCTTCCAAAGTGGTCTCATCCTTGAGAATTTTCCCTTGGTATATGAGCATTTGCTGGTCTGCCGGGTAGGTACTCTGACCCTGAGTGGTCTCAATGATCCTCTTCACCTCAGCAACCTAAAAATTCAAGCAGTGAGTAGGCTGCACGACTAGAGACGTTGCCAAGCAACATAAATCGAACACCACGGCATGCCGAATCATCCGTCTGTACAGCAACCGCGCCACATTACTGTGATGATTCGAACGAACACACACACCCACCATAACCACAACCCCCAAACTCCAACCAACGACAAACCCTAGACTATGTCCCGTGTGAGAAACTGAAGCTCAAAATTCAGAGAACCAGAAGGCAGCGGGCCCCATCACCTGCCGGGCTGGACGCCCCAAAAACAAAAACCCTAGATTCAGATCAAAGCCCCTGAACTACCACCGGCCTGCCGCGCAATCGTTGCACCAGACCACCGCGAAATCGTACCGAGCCGCACCCGAATCGAGCGAAACCGCCGAGAATTGCACGGAATCGCTGGGATTGAAGTGAGAAGGACGGGGGAGAGGGGGCCGTACCGACGCATCCGGGCTCGCCTCGATCTCGAAGTTGGTGCCCTTGAGGGTCTTGACGTTAAGCTTCATCTCGCCCGACGCCTCCTCAGTCCACACGCTCTCCCCCTCCTCGCGCTGGCTGACTCCGCTTCGAGCTGGGGAGGAGGGTTTCGTCACCTCGCCTTGGGGTTGGGGGTTCGACCTCGCGAAGACGACGAGAGCGCACGGGGAAGCGAAGTTTATAGGCGAAAAAATATCCGAAGGCCGCAGCAGGCTGGAAGAGAGAAATCAGCGCGTGGCGCTCGGGATCGAGCTAGGTACTCTCGCTGTGCCGTGGGGCCGCGACGAATGGACCCCAGGGTCAGTGAAAGGGGCGGGTGAGTGGATCGGGAGGCAGGCGGTGTGGTGGCGAGGCGGTGGGCGGATCTAGCTGCACCGTCGCGATGTGTGGGCCAAGCGCGAGAGGGGCACGTGGCGGGCACCGAGTGGAGAGACGCCGGTCGCGTGGGTGGTTTTTTGGAGGCGGTTGCGTTGTGGTGTGGGATGTGCGTCGGCGGAGAAGATAGATGGAGCACAGAGTGGGCGCGCGTACGGGATCCGTGGAGTACTTCGCAGCGGGGGAACGGATGTGTGCTTGGCTTTTGGTTTGGTTTGGAGCACAAGAATGAAGGGAAGGAAAGGCAATCCATCCATCGATCCCTTTGTAGAAAGCGCGAGGAGATAAATTCCGGGCCGCACGGTACACTCTGACTGTCTAGGGACTTGTACTGCATCCACGGCGGTTACCGGCTTACCGCGCCTTGCCAGTAGTCGCGCGAGAGGGCTATTACCGGTAGACGGGGTTGGTGCCATTTTGTGCTTCCGTGTAGACGTGCATACTGTATGGTGAAGGTTTAAAGCCTTAATTAAAGGCGATACAGAAAAAAAAAAAAGCTGGCTGCTGGGGCTTTTCGATAGGCAGGGGCCGGGGACTGGGCCGGGGCCAGGGCTACGGCCGTGGGCCAAGGCACGTCAAAGGGAGTCAATGTGGAGTGGAACGAACGGTTCTGTTTTCTGGGATGGGACAGGAATGGAACAACTCCAGTTTATGTGGGATGGGATAACCCCGGTTTCTGTTTGGTTGGTAAGGAACGAGATCAATCCATTTTGTGTTCGGTTGAAGGGATATATAGGAATGGGATGGACGTTGGATTTGACGCCGATAGCTACTGTAGATATCAATCACATGCCAAATTATATATCCATTGATAGACCTAATCATAAGGAGTTCAACAAAATTGGGTTTGCTATTTTATAATGTTTCTACTAATTACTATGTATTTTAGAAATTTCAACCTATTTTCTGCATAAAAGAAAATGTAACAGAAAAATGGAACACCGGGGACCCTAGGATTCTAAGGATTTGTATCACTATTCATATGAGTCACAAGATTTGCATCTGGAACCTTAGAAAACTCTCTAATCCATTTTCACCCTTCTTCTTCAACCTACGGACGGAACTGAAACCTGCGTCCGCCACCCGCCCCTAGGTGTAGTCGCTGACCGCCCCAGGTGCGTCTGCTACAGCGCTGCCCGCCCCACGCGCGTCCGCCGGCCGCCTGAGGCACGTCCACTGCGGCGCTGTCCGCCCCACGTGCGTTCGCCGCCCGCCCCATGTGTCGCCACGGGCCGCTCCAGGTGCCGTTGCCAGCCACTCCCTGCGCCTCTCACGGCTCCTCTCCGCGCTAGCTGACGACATGAATTGGGGATGACCCCGTCCCCTCGATTTTGAGGGACGGGAGTCACCCGCATATCCTCGGAATCTTCGTGGCTGGGACGTCCCTGACCCTGTGTGACTCTGAACCAAACATGCATACAAAAGAGGCCCATCTAAGTCTGGGCGTTCTGGTTACCCGATTTTTTCGGGTTGGGTAATTCGGGTAATACGAAATTTGGGTAATGCAAAATGATACCCGATATTAGTGCTGAAAAAATACTACCCGTAATTTCGGGTACCCGATAATTCGGGTTCGGGTATACCCGTAATTTCTGGAGTTCTATGTACCTGCACGGTCTCCTCGGCCCTCGATATGCTGGTGCGGTGGTGTCGGCGCTTAGTCCACATGCATGCGTCGCCCAGTTGCTTACGGAATAACGCTGCCAGCCCACTGGCTAGGTCGACGGTAGCCGGTAGGTCGAGTCTGTGGCCGCTTGGGAGGTCGCCGTCGCGGGCCAGTCCGCTAGAGCCTGGAGATCTTGAGGAGGAAGAGTCGAGCGAGGGCTCGACGCTCGACCGCTCGAGGCAGAGTCCGCCGCTAGTCAAGGTCGAAGTCGACGCTAGATTTCGTGACATCGCGTTCTCCCGTGTACCGTCGAGCGTCGAATCGCAAGGTCGAGGACTTGAGGTCTCTCAGGGAGTCACGATGGGGGGATGGATTTTTGCGTTGGTGCTGGGCTCTCCTTTCCTGTTGGGCTGAATGAGGTGAGCAAATTAGAGGCTGCTGTGCATTCATGCAGACATCGGGTATATATGTAATTCGGGTACCATGACTTGTTACCCAAATTACTCCAAATTAATTTTGGTATCTCAAGTAAATATCCAAACTATCTAAATTAATTTCAGGCCCGGGTAGTTCAAGTTCGGTAATGGATATCGGGTATTTTGTCCAGGGCCAGTCCATCCCATCCAATCCCATCAAATCCCAGCAAGCAAATGCTACCAAAGAGGAGAACGTTAGAGGCGATTGACTATCCTACGAGCCATGAAAGAGGCCGAGAGGGTGACGGTGAGCCAAATTGAAGGATATCATATCATGGCTTCACTCGCTTTGTGCATAGACATATTTTTTTTTTTACTGAAAGTAGGCCCATGTTTGCATAGACTGACATTTTATTAAATCAAAAATACATACAAGCAGTGGTGGATCCAGACCTTAGTTGTGGGGCCAAGTCAGCTTTTGCCAAAATACATTTAACCCCTCTATAATAAAATTTTGAATTATATATGTTGATGTTGTTAATTACCTTAAAATCAACCAGGCTCCACAAGATTTAAAAATCCTAGATCTGCCACTGCATACAATCACTCGCATCGAATCAGACGCTAAAAATATTAGTGGACATGTTCCTTCCTACTGAACCTAAGTAAGAATGTAAGACACACTCGGTTTAGAGAAGCCAACGGTTCCTGGACGAGCTAGATGCCATTAATGCCCGGCGAGGCAGTAAGAGCCCAAGAGCTTTTTTTAAATCTCACTTTCTAAATTATCATTTGGAGAACCATTTACATAAAAATCGTTTTCTATATCTTTTCGCTCTCCAACAGTTCTTCTATATCTCATGCGCACTTTAGAGAGCTATTCTCGTCTTCTATTTTTTTGCTAGCGAAAAATCTGGAATAGAAGATAGATATATTTGGATGACCATTTAGACAAGCTGTTGAATGATAGTTTTTCACCAAAATTTCTATTCGTAGCATTTAGGAGGAATACGAAGAGTCTTATTATCTAAGGCCGCAAGCGAGTGGGTGCTGCAGTGCCGGTCGCTCGATCTAGCAGTGCGGGTGACACTAAGACATGGTGTGCCGACGCTGGACTGCTAGTTGCACGCTGTTGGAGGTGGGAACCAAAGAAATAGTGAAGCAAGTCTGTTCCGTTCTTTATTTTCTCCTAAATTCCCAGTAGTCCCTATATCAGGTCCAATCCTCTCTATTTCAAAATTTTAATTAAACAAATTGAATTTATGGATTATTTATGCTGTAATTCATTGTCTTCTTCTAGAATTACACAATCAAAAGGGCAAAGACATTGAAATCCATTTTATTCTCTAGTATGTTGTGTTCTCTAATATCTATTTTTTGTTCACTAATAAATTGTATTTTTATATTGCTTCCCTTGTTGATTTTAAATGTTCAAACTTTCATGTATAGGTTTAGCTTTTGCTAATAGGGATGAAGATATGATAGGCAAGAATAAACTAAGTAGTCTATAATTAGATATTTGTTTCGTATCACGTCATGTTTTTATAAGGTTTATTTATTGTACAGATGTATATGGAATTGAGATACTCTCTAACTTACGCATTTTATTCTTTTTTATTTATGTGAACTATAAATATGTGGGCCTATTATAAATTGCTTAGGCATTTAGGTAGTGACTGTATGTGTTGATTTTTTACCAGCTCTGCCACTAGACTCAAGGTTTTATTCGACTATTCGTGGCCTCGAGGAAAGGAGTCACATGAGAACAATGCTACAAAAGAATGTGCAATGATGGGCACTAAGGTGTTGTTCGGTTTAGCAAAAGTGAAAGGAACGTAAATGGAAACCATTCCCACTAGTGCCTGTTGCAGAGCAACCGATTGTGTCTTTTGTTTGGTCGATGCCGAAGTCGAAGATGCCATCGTTGTCGAAGTTGAAGGCACAAGGAAGACTCTGCACCGCTATAGTTCGACATCGTACGGGGGAGGCAGGGCTACGAGGTGTGTGCAGCGCACGCGAGAGGGTTGGGTGGCGTGCACGGGCGGCGGCGCGTTGAATTTTTTCATGAGTTAGGAGCGGATTGTGCCATGAGAGAAGGAGCTTCTATAAGACTGGATCTGCTCACAGCGTGACCTATTATAGGCTAGGCCAACCGAACGCGAAACAACGTCATCTCTAACACTGTGAATTGTTACGGGGTTGGAAACAGTGAAACACGGAACCAAAACAGCTCATAAGCTTTGATTGGATGGATATGACCGTGTCAATTCAGCGCCATGTCTCCCGTATAGAGATACATGCTTGGGGCATGTACAACATGCATTGTCTATCGTCTATTTAGGTTAACTAACTAGAGGTTAGGTTATGTACAACAGGTCTCTTTAGTCCATCTGTGTTGTTTTTTTTCACAAAATTCCCTGCCGAAGCTTGGAGATGGAGCGCGCGTCGCCTCGCGAGGCAATGGGGGACACTCATGTTCCGAGGCCTTGTCGACTCCTCTAGCAGCGTTGTACTGCTTGCCCTCCCGACTCAACGACGAGCGGATCCGGTGTGCATGTGCAGATCTGGTTTGGGCGTGCATGGGAGGGAGTCGTCACGCCAAAATCATTCCCGTCTCCCTATATCTCGGTGT